ACGCACACACATACCCACATATATTTATATATAGAAGTTAAGTAGCTTGGGAAAAAAAATCCTCCGAAACTACATTTATCATCTAGAAATAAAATTTGACAATTTCTAAGTATGAAAATCATTAAAAAAAATAGCATAATTGTTTGTTCAAGTAAATAATTAAGTTTATACTTAATTGTGCATTGGGACTTGCACGCTAATATTAATGGCTTTGAAATAATTTTGTTAAATAATTAAGTTTATAGTTAATTGTTAGTTTTATAAAAATAATATACTTTTTTATAATCTATATAGTGTATTTTAAATGTATTTTTTTTATATTATGAAAATCTATCAAGGTTCACTTCCAAAAGTTATATTAAATTTTATTTCACATTAATTGCGCCCAAAAAATAAGTAACTTTGTTATTGACATGAACATTAACGATGACTATGTCTATTTGTAAGTTTACAAAAGGTGATCCATCTTGCATGTCAGTCTAATCAGCATCAGACTTATTTGGGAGAAAAATCTAAAATTTATTTAGATAATAAAAAAAAGGAGAATGTGGAACCTAATTTGAAACATGCAGTTCAAAATTGAGTCATTTTTTTTTTATTGTAAGTATTCAAATTATATTTTTTAATTGGATCATATTTCTACATGTTTATTTCAATTATTTATATCAGTTTACCTATATAATAGTAATAATGTCTTTATTATGCATGAATGATGAAGTTTCAAGGAGTGTCATTAATATGAAAAACATTTTTCGTTGAATATCACAAATGATTATTTTAATTTAATTATATTTTATTTTTCATAAAAAAAAATTATGGTATTTTGTACTCACAGTCAGTTATATGTTGTTTCTATAGTCAACGACTCCAGTTGTCTGATGATTATTCATGATGATAATGGTCTTAATGAATACAGTTAATTGATTACTAAGATTATATTCATGAAAAATATAAAATATATTAAATAAAATATTTATCCAACTTTTTTATTAACTTTATACATGTATGTATATTAAATTATAATTTATAAAAAAAAATTTTTAGTGCCAGGCCGCGCAATGCGCGGGTCGCGTACTAATGTTATATATAAAAGAAGCTAGAGCATGAAATTACTTTTACTTAGTATTTAATGTAAATTAATGAATCACATGTGAGACGAATGAGAATAAATTATTAAAAATGTCACATGTTTTTTCATATAATAAAATATCATTTACTAATATATTATTAAAAATGTCACATGTTTTTTTCATATAATAAAATATCATTTATATACTTTCTGACCTTATTTTATAGAAAGATTGCTCTCATCTAACATAGACTTATAAATGTATTTCTTCAAATGATTTGTTAAATTCTTTATTAAAAAAAAATAATTTATTTTCATCTACTTGAATTCTATTTAGAAAAAATAACATATTTTATTATAAATATTACTATAAGATGAATGAACCATATAGACATGTTAACTGACATATTTATTGCATGACATGTCACTTAAATTGTGAAGATTTACATTTGATTTTATTGAATAGTTATTTGGGTAAATGAGCTTAAGCCGTACATTTCTTATATTCAGATATCATATATTTAAAAAAAAAAAAAATTAATGTATTCCGAAATAATATGAATCGATAGTATCTCAAAATGAAGTTATCAATGTGAATTCCTTTTTACCAAATAATAAAATAATAAAAAAAAAAAACAAGTTTACGAATTATAATCAGATGACACACGCACATTTAGTTTGTTGGTTTCTTCTAAATTAAATTTAAATAAATTTCAGCAAAATAAATTTACCATAAGCTAAATTAATATAATATAGACATAAATATTTTTTACTACTATACATTTAGAACACACGAAAAGTTAAGACTGGGCTGGAGCCCGGACTAGCCTACCCTTGGCTATTCCCCTGCCAGTGACTCACCAAGCAGTTGATGTGTCAATCTGTCACGAAACGGGTTGAACCGATCGATCCTCCAACGTTCGCCTTCCTCGAGTTCCGATAACATGCAATGCGTCGGGAGGGTCTCGATGTAGACATTCTGACGCTCAAGTCGGAACTGATTCTAGATAATAAGCTAAAATCTGTGAACTTAATGATAATGTGCAATAATAATAACATAGAACATTGTTATCCTTATATAGAGTAGATTCCTTGACGCCTAAAAGAATCCTTGATGGGAAAGTGATCTAATCAAATCTTCTTTCTTAGCTTACCACATCTCTATCTGGGCAAGTCTCCTTACCAAGCTATACTTTTCATCCTACTAGGATTCTTTACTTGGCCCTGAGGTCTCTAGGTCATAACAGCGATCTATTGACCTCCCATCTAATACCTACCTGAAGTTGGCACCCCACCTCTCCACCTTGGGACCTCAAAGCCTCGGGGTCTCTCTTTGTATCTGAAATCCTAAAGGTAGTTATCTCCAAGTCGTCTTAACAAGTCAACTAGTATCCTGAGCTGCCTCCACGAGCTCCCCGACTGGGTTATCATCTTCTTAGCGAGCTGGGGCTCCTCTGGACCGACCTACCCTGAGCTATCTATTCAGGTCGGTCCGCTGAGCTATTTTAGATGCTACATCATCTAGCCCATTGTTTTGCATGTTTTT